CGGAGGGACTGGGACTGGGGCCACTGAGGGTCAGAACAATATTCAGGAGGGAGCGTTGTATTCTGAACATATACGTTTAGTCGTAAATAGATTTTATTTCCAACACAGTCTAAGTATGTATTTCTTGAATCCGTGAGGTTATTTTAGAGTTTCAAAACTGAAAGTGATAAATGAGAAAATGGGAAGACGGTTCCCTCCACATTAATTGGCACCTCTGGTGAAGATGCCTTCAGGACTTGTGATGCGTAAACATTTAGATGACACATCTGTCTGGGAGTTTTTAATTAGTAATTCACAATTTCTTCTTCAGTTTTCACTATAATGTGGTCCATTTGCTCACTCTTCAGAAATGAGAGACAGAATAAAATGTACAGTGTGCAGTCACAACACAAATTAAAGTAATTTATTGGTACGATCAAATTTCATTAACTTTGACTTGCTGTAAAGTTTTTGAACACATTTTTACCTTAATGTGGAGCGTGCTCAAGCTATGTATCTTTGCTATCTGACTGGCTCGCCCAGGTGGCTTACACCCTGAGAAGTTTAACAAAGCTCAGTTTTACCAGGCCACCGTTCATCTGATTTTATCAGGTGTCTCCCTTTCTCTTTAATTGGATCTTAATAGCTCCGATTGCTGTTAATTAGGAATCCCTGTTCTTGTTGGATCAATCTCATCCTTCTGTTGCCAGCAGGTGATTTTTTGTTGTTGCTTTTTTTCCTTCTCTATTTCTTTTTTAACATCCTTCCTTACATCTATCTTGGCTTTGTTGTATTATTCATTAATCTACAGCATCCCTGGATAAGTATTTTACAGGAACCTGATCCCTCTGAGTGAAATAACTTCACCCTTACATAATGCAGGGTGAAGAAAATCCTACTTTTGAAGTTTCAGGTATAGGATTCCTATAAAGAACACAAAGGATTATTGCAACAACCAATTCTGACAAGTTTTCTTGGTATTGTTGCACCTGAACTCTTTCCTTGTGAAACCTTGTTGATTAGTCTTGAAAGAGCTATTTACATCTTAACCGTGTGTCGTACACGCTGACTGGCAGAGAAAGCTGGTGCCTATGCAGGATCACAGGGCATATGTGGAGCAGAGGGTATCTTGTCATAATGTGTGTGTGTGTTTTTTTAATTTTATTTTTATGCCATGATCTTTGGGATACACGAGAGCAGTGGTTCCCAAATTTTTTCTCCTGGGCCCCCCCATCGGTTTCCAAACATTTTCTGGGCCCCCACTATGGATTACAAATAGCTGTCTGGTTGAACGACGTGTGCATGTGTGTGTGTGTGTGTGTGTGTGGTGGGGGGCAGGGGGGAGAGAAGAGGATTCTTAGAGACTCCCTGTCTCTAACTTATTTTTTTTTTTTTTTTTTTGGGGGGGGGGGGGGTTTAATTTTTTTGGGGGG